TTTTTTTTTTTTTTTTGTGCCCCCTTTAAAGAATTTTTTTTTTTTTTTCCCCCCCCCCCCCCCCAACAAACTCGACAAACCCGTTTTAAAGTAGGCAGGGCACTCCTTGGTATCAATCATGGGGAAACTTTATAGCTTGGAGCAAGGAACTGAAAAGATTGGGACAGGGGATGGAGGGGGAGGAGATCAGAGATAGGGTCCAGGACATGTTGAGATCTGTGGAAGCTAAGGCTTCTTGCCCTGCAGGGAAGCAGCTCAGCTCCTACTCACTCACATTATGCTCCTCTAGTGGCTGCTGGAATCAGCCTGCCTGCTTCCACTCCCTGCTTTTCTCTAGTTTCTTTTATATCTGGCTGGAGCTTTAGAGAGAGGAGTAAGGTATGGCCTTAACAGGAGTTAAGTGAGAGATGGGACAGGACTGTGAACATTTCTACAGTAACATTTAGGAGATTTTTAATTCTCTCTACCCCAGAAATGTGACATTTATAGTCTCCTGGGAATGAGTAGAAAAATTCTTTGCTGCTTTATATTGCAGTCTTTATATTTGAAGTATGTTTCTTGTAGGAAGCATGTATTTGGGTCTTTTTTTGTTCAGTTGGACAATCTATGCCCTTTAGTTGGGATGTTTAGACCATGCATATTTAATGTTATTATTAATATGATTAGGTTTAAGCCAGTCATCTAGCTAGTTTTTTCCTGTTTATCCCATCTGTTCTTCGTTTTCTAATTTGCATTTTTTCTGACTTTTTTGGTTTGAGAATTTTTTGTTGTTTCGTTTAATCTCCTTCATTGGTTTAACTCTGTTGTTTTAGTGGTTATGTTAGGTTTTATATAATATGAGGGTGCCTCTCAAAAAGTTTGTGGGAAAAATGGAATTAAAAGATAATACAAATCTTTCCATGAATTTTTTCAAGACCCCTTGTACATCTTTAACTTATCACAGTCTACCTTCAAGTTTTATATATTACTTCATATGTAGTAAGTATATGAACCTTAAAATAATATATTTCTGTTCCTTTCTGGTCTTTATTCTATTTTGCCATACATTTTACTTATATTTATATTATGAGCACCACAGTACATTCTTAGTATTTTTGTTTAAACTTTCAATTATCTTTAAAAGAATTTAAATAATAAGAAAAGAATGATATATTTGCCCATGTAGTTAACTTTTCCGGTGCTCTTCATTCTTTTTGTAGATCCATATTTCTATCAAGTGTCATTTCTTTCCACCTGAAGGACTTTCTTTAACATTTCTTATAGTATGAATCTGCTGGTGATTATTTTTTTCAGTGTTTGTATGTCTGAAGAGTCTTTGTTTCAGTTTTATTTTTTAAAGATGTTTTCATTAGATATAAACTTCTAAGTTGACAGTCTTTTTCTTTTATGAAATATTCTTCATATGAATAAGAGGTATGAATAGGAGGAAACTACTCAAAGCTTGGTAAAGAACCACCTGAAAGGATTAGAAGGAATAGTACTTGGCACAACACAGGGCCAAGAATAGTATCCTAACAACCAGACTGGAAAACCTCACAGGTTAAAGGACACTGGGTAGAGAACTCAGGTCTTGTGTTAGTAATGAGGAATAATATAGTCCCTAAACTTCATTCCTCATATTCTGGATCATACATCAGTCTGCCAGATTCTGAAGGAGGACACGCTCCACATCTCTGGAGTTCTCTCTCTCTGCAGCCCTGTGATCTCTGGCAATTTGTCCTGCAAACTCCAGCTGCCTTGTTCTCCCTGGACTTTCAGCTCTACCTTCTCAACTCAGAGAGTACACTGGGCTACGCCTGGGTCTCCCCTCTCTGTACTGTGTCTCCTCTCAAGGCAGTAAGTTCAGGCAAACTCACATGGTTTATTTTCCATCTCTCCAGGATCACTGAGAAAAGAATTCTTGACTTGGTGAAATGAAGAAAAGCATTCTTCACCTGGTACTGCAATGCGTTTTGGCATGCTTCATTCCCATTGCTCATCCCCTCACTTGACTGCACCCCATGCCTTTGTAGGGAGTAAGTTCTTAGTTTTTCTTTTCTTTTTTTTTTTTAAAAAAAAAGATGACTGGTAAGGGGATCTTAACCCTTGACTTGGTGTTGTCAGTACCATGCTCACCCAGTGAGCTAACCGGCCATCCCTGTTATGGGATCTGAACCCAAGGCCTTGGTGTTATCAGCACCACACTCTCCCGAGTGAGCCACGGCCCGGCCCAGTTCTTAGTTTTTCTGTAATTACTAGGAACCACTGAGTCTGTGAAAGATAATAGTATTTTATTTGTGAAAGTAGTGTAGTATTTTAGTCCTGTTGGTGTGGCAGAGGCTGTGACTACTCTTCTAGGGGAATGGTTGGACCATTGAAACTTCCAGCAGCTGGGCAGGCCTGGGGGATCCAGAGGAGACAGGAGCTCTGGGGATTGTAGAAGCAAAACTGAGACATTCACAAGTGAAGGGACCAACAAGTCTGTACTGGAATTTGCTTAGTGCTTGGTCCACAGATAGGCTGGAGGTCAATCTTAGGAGATTCCTTTAACTATGAGAAAGGAGAAAATATAGGGCAGGCTTATGAATATAATTGTGATCAGAGCTTTGTACTAGAGGAAGCAAAGTGCTTGGGAAATGGGAGCTAGGGCGAGGGGTAAAGAGGAGGAGACTAACAAGAGGTGGGCTGAGATAGACTAACAACGAATACTGATTAAAGTTTCAAGTATTCAGGTTGGTGTACCAAGGAGCCAAAAGGATAGGCCAGAGAAGTCAGGCAGATCAGATACAGCATTCATATTCAACAAATATTAAGTGCCTGTATGTAGGAGGTCTTTATTTCATGTCGTAGTTAATGCACAATTGACTGTAAGGTTGTTATTAATATCTTGATTTTACTCTTAAGGAAACTAAGATCTGAGATGTTAAGCGGCCTGCTTATAAGTGGTAGAGCCAGTTGAAACCCGTATCTGTCTGACTCAACTCCAGGATGCTCCCCACTACTTTACACGAGAGCTTGAGAAGTCGCTCTATTGGATACCCAACAAGACTGTGATATTTTACTTTCCTTAAAAATAAAAGTAAAAAATTTCAAACAGTACTGAAAGATGTAAAATGAAAATTTTTTCTCTCATGATCATCTTCATCTAGTCACAGTCCCCCTCCCCAAAGGTAACAGCTTCTTGCAGTGTTTTCAGTGCTACATACAGAGTATTTTTGTGGTCCTCAATGGCATTTAATATACCAGATGGAAAAGAGATTTAAAACCATGTCACCTGAAGAATAGTTGGAGGAACTTGAAAGGTTTCATCTGCAGAAGAGAACAGCCAGTGCAGGAGGAGTGCTGTCTTCAAAAATCTGGAGGACAGTCATGTGGGAGAAAGACTAATCCTGTTCCAGATGGCCCTAGGGGTCACAGTTGGACCCAGTGGCATGGACACTTGCAGAGGCAGATTTTAGCTCAGCAAAAGAAAGAACACAACCATCTCAGTAAAGGTAAAAAGTACCTCCCATGGGAAGTATTCAGACAGAGGCTACCTGACCATTTAGTAAGGATATGGTAGTGATCACAGAAGCATCAGGGGAAGGTTTTCAAACTCCAGGTCATGATAGTGGGTGTTGAAATCAAGTTAGAGGAACTTTTTAAAAGAAACAGAATAAAATACAAAACAGCAGAATACATCACATATAATGGTCTAAGTATTGTTTACTGAGACTTTTTTCCTTTATGTGTGTGTCTGCCTGTATACTGGGTTGAGATGTAAAATATATTTCTTACTGCAAGTTATGGTCAAAAAATTTGAAATCTACTTCATTGAGTGACCACCAAGGCACCTTCTAGCACTCACTCAGTGAAGGCGGTCTGAACTGTGTGTAAGACCTAGGTCTTCCCTCAGCTCCATGGTAGCGAGTCATTATCCCTCTCTGAACCTCTGTTTCCCCATTTGTGCAACGATGGTCATAATCATTTAGAACTTCAGGTAGAGTGGTAAAAGTCTAAAGGCCCTTCCAATTCCAGCATTTTTTATTCTTTTTAAAAATTTTTATTATTATTATTTTTCCCCCTAAAAAATGTATTTATTTTTGATAATACGTATTTATGGGGTTCAGAGTGTATGATCAGTATTTGTATACAGCATGTGACAATCAAATCAACATTATTAGCATGGTCATCATTGTAAATCATCATTATTCTTTGTGTTCCTTCCACAATTACTCCCTAACCTCCTTCCTGCTCCCCCTTTCCCACCTCTAGCAACTAAAGGTTTGTTCTTTCCTTCTGAAAGTTCATTGTTTTATTGTCGTCTATCTTTCTTTTCCCTTCTCTCTCTCTTTCTTTCTTTTTCTCTTTCTTTCTTAGTTCCCATTTATGAGTGAGGACATTTCTCTTTCTGTGCCTGGCTTATTTTACTTAACATAATTTTCTTGAAGCTCATCCACATAGCTGTGAATGACAACATTTCATTATTTTTTTATGGCTGAGTAGTATTCCATTGTGTATATATACCACATTTTCCTTCTCCAGTTATCCATTGATGAACATTTAGGTTGGTTCCATATCTTGGTTATTGTAAACAGAGCTGTGATGAACATGGGAGTGCAGGTATCCTTCAACATGATGATTTCCATTCCTTCGGGTATATACCCAGAAGTGGGATCCAGGATTTTGTATTCTAAGAACATCCGTTTATTCAGCGAATGTTGCTTGACCAGTGCCTTCAATGTACCAGGCTCTATTCTAGGCATTGGGACATAGCAGGGAATGAAATAGGCAAAAGCCAAAGCTCCAGCCCCTCATGGAGCTTACATTCTAGTGAGACAGCAAAATAAGTAAGTGAATTATGGCAAATGTTAGATAGCAATAAGTGCTAAGAAGAAAAAATAAGCAGAGAAGAGGGATACAAAATGTTGAAGAGAAGGTTGAAGTTTTAGATGCAGCAGTCAGGAAGTTCTCATACAGAAGGTGTTTTTTGAGTAAAGACCTGGTGGAAACGAGGGCACTAACCGTGTGGATATCTGGGGAAGGGCACATCCCAGGAGGAGGTGGGAACATGCCTGGCATGTTCCTGAACAGCAGGGAGGCCAGTTGTGTTTGGAGCAGAGTGAGAAAAAGTAGTAGAAGATGAAGTCAGAGAGGCAAGGAGGGTCCAGGGTCAGGTCATGAAGAGAGAACAGAGTTCTTTAGAACTGCCTCCAATTCTTCTGTTAGCTGTGGGTTATAATACCTATCTTCATACAATTAGGAGCATCCTGTGAGATGGGAATGTGCTCCCCAAACTCTGAGATCCTGTGCAGATATGAAGGTCTTAATGTTTTGTGGACTAATCTAAGTGGGGCAGGCCAATGATCCTCAAATTCCATTCACAAGAGAATAGACCAAAAAATTATGGCACATTCAAATAAATTATGGTATATTCCTACTATGAGAGAATGCCAGGGCTCTCCCTCGGCCTTTCCCAGGCCACTTGGGGGCGGGTAGCCTTCTAGCACACAGTGCATCTCGCATCTCGCAGTAGTGGTTGCTCTGACTATCAAGAGGCTAAGAGTTTCTTTATTTCGATTTAGAAATTCCATCACCCAAAGTTAAGTTGTCTTCATCGGGAGAACTTCATCTGGAATCTGAAAAATGTTCCTCTTCTGGAGAAATACCTGTATGCCTTGGGCCAGAATAGAAATCAAGAGATTGTTGAGCAGGTCATTCAGCTGTTCAAGGAGGAAGTGATGACCAAATTAAGTCTTTTTCGAGAATGTGAGTATTCCCCAAGTCAAATCAGTATTTTTCTCGATGTTTAAATTGTCAGATTTCATACTATCAGAAAATTGTGGTGTTACAACACCAACATCAAGGGCTCTGATCCCCACACTGGCCAGCCACCAAACAAACAAAAACTACGGAGGTACAACTTAGTTTTATCAAATCTTAAAACCTTGCCATATTTGCTGCTATTACTTTTTTTAAAATAACATTTTTACTTTCCTTAAAATTGCAACATTTGAAGCCCCCTCTAACTTTATGTGACTCCACCTTACAACTTAGTTTTATCAAATCTTAAAACCTTGCCATATTTGCTCCTATTACTTTTTTTAAAATAATATTTTTACTTTCCTTAAAATTGCAACATTTGAAGCCCCCTCTAACTTTATGTGACTCCACCTGTCCTCCCTACTAAATTTGCATATTATATACATATGATTCATAAATGATTTATAGTAATGCTTTCCATTTTTCATACTTTGTGTCAATGATATCACACTGTATATTATCATTCAGCAACCTGCTTTTTAAATTCAATATGTGTTTCAGATTGGTCCATATTAATATATGTAGTTCTAGTTTATTTAATAAGTTTTTTTTTTTTTTTCCTTTTTGTCTTTTTTCGTGTCCGGCAACGGATCGCAACCCTCAGTGTCGCGCCCGCACCTCGCTCAGCCAGTGAGCGGGAACCGGTCTGTATGTGGGATCCGAACCCTCGGCGGGAGCGCCGCCACACTCCCAAGCGGCGCACTGTAGCAGTGCGCCACCGGGCCGGCCCTATTTAATAAGTTTTAACTGCTGAATAACATTTCATAGTATGAATATACCGTAGTTTATTTGAATGTGCCATAATTTTTTGGTCCATTCTCTTGTTAGTGGAATTTTAGATTTCTTCCTGTTTTCTTGCTACAGTATGATGCTTCAGTGAAGGCTCCAGTACATATCTCCTTGTGTACCTGGACATGTGTTTTTCTAGAGTACACATCTAGATGTACGCAGCTGTTTCACCCAGCGTTAAGTACTGGTCAAAGGGCGAGCATCTGCAGGGCATTTCCGGCAAGGCCTAGGAGAGGCAGTATGTGTCTCTTTTGTGTTTGCTTACTTTGTGAAAACACAATGTAAGCTTGTAGCATAAAAATAGAGTTGATTTTTTTTTACCCTCAAACCTGTTTTGCCCCCAGACTTCTATCATCTCATTACAGTAGTACCCATCATTCACCTGGTAGATCTGGCCAAAAACTTAGGAGTCATTAGCCTTCACTCAGTTCTTTCTCTCACATCCCCACATCTGGTCAAATTCTATCCATTCTAACTTCAAAAGATATCCTGCCTCTAACCACTCCCCCCCCCCCCCCCC